TGTGTGTGTGTGTGTGTGTGATTTTGTGTGTGTGCCTTCAAATTAGATCTGACTCGTACAGGAGGAAATTGCCCCTCCTTCTCCAGCAGAGCATCTGGTGGATTTGAACCACGTACCTGAGATTTCCACTTTTGATTCATGTCCACGTAAGTAGAAAATATTCATCCAAGCAGCTTTAAAACAAAGTTATCATTATCATCTTCCTATCTGCTATTATTGACAGTACTCAACAACACTGGTTATTAAGTGACAGATTCTGAGAAAAAAGAAATGAGGTTCTTTATTTTTTTAATAAAGACATGAAAGAATAGAAATAAAACTTTAAAACACTAAATTCAAGGCAGACAAGCTATCAAATCTGAGTCACACTGGTTATTTCAAAGTATTTTTAAGTCACATATATTGCTATTAACAGAGTGTTCCTCAAAGGCAAGCATGGTGACATTCTGTCTCACTTAATTCGGTCATATTGTTAGAAGGGACTACTCCTTGGAAAGACTTCATGCTTGGAAAGGTGGGTGTCAGTAAAAGAGAAGACCCTCAGTGAGTTGGACTGACACAGTGACTCTCGCCACCAAAGGTTCGAGTGTGTCAGCGATGATGAGGATGGCAAGGATCAGCAGATTCGTGGTTCCAAGGATCACAATAAGTCGTACTGGACACGAAAGAACCTAACAACAGCAGCAACTAACAGATTCAGACAGACAGAGGGAAGGGTAATCTGGCAATTTTATGTGCTTTCTGTGTGACCGAATAACCAGAACTAAAGAGAAACAAGACACTACCAACCTCCAAAAAAGAAAGGGACACCAACCAACCCACCTGTCCACACACACACATACATATGCAAGCATGCATACATACAGACAGAATTCAGCTTATTCTAATTTAACCAGTTAGTATTGAGTCAATTCTGACCTGTGGCCACCCCAGGCATGCCAGAGTTAACTATGCCTCACAGGTTTCTGGCGGCTAATTTTTCACAAGATTACCAGGCCTTTCTTACAAACAACACATTTCTCCTTGCAATGGTTAGAAGTAGAGGAAAGAATAAAACCAAGCATGATAGATATTCTGTCCTTTTAGTACAAGGCCTCATGATTAAGTATAACAAGTGACAATGAACATTAAACCCACTGCTGTGGAGATAAAGGTCCTGCACAGAAGCAGAAAACACTGATTTCCCTTCAATTCAATCACGAGAGGCCTGAAAGTATGAAAACAGGCCTAAGAGAAGATAAAAACTAAAAAACTTGGACATGTGTGGTGACAATGCCTAAATGTAAATGTAAAAGAGGTATGACAACTAAAGGGGGGAAACTATTAAATAACTTTAATCTAGTAATAGTCAAGTCTATAAACAAATATTGAAAAAGAAACTATTAAAACTTCTATTCATTGAGTTTACCTAAGTGGAAATGAAGAAAATTCTCTAAGAACAGTAACGATCTCATACTTCACGAAAGGGCTCCCCCCCCCACAAAAAAATGGAAATTCCTAACTCATTCTAAGATCACTTAAGGGGCCCTCACAATGTAGCCCTGTCCACATACCCCAGACATACATGACTGACTGCTCTGAACACTGGAAGCTCTGGCCACACTGAACGAGCTGTGGCTGGCTGTGCTCAGGCTGGCCCCAACCCCCGGAAATCCACATCAAAACTCTGGTCTAAAAGTACAATTTCTTTACCACCACAACAGCTCTAGCAGGTAAAACACCATTGGTACACAGTGAGCAATCAGCTGTGTTGTGAGAAGAAGGAGGTGCAACCCAAATATTTTGGTGACTTCTCTAAGTTGTCTCAAGGACTTCACGCTGCTTCTGTATTGTCTTTGCTTCCTATGTACTTATTACATATCTGGCTCACTTTGCCTGCACTACTACACAAGAAACTTCCAAACTGCTTCTCAAAATAACAGTAAACATTGAAATTGGTACAATAGGAAAAAACAGACTATATTATACATACTGTACAGAAGTTTCTCTTTTACAGGTTTCCCAAGCACTGTGAATTCAGTAGACAAAGATAATTGTTGGCTTTATTAACCTAGTTACTACATGTAGGAGAATAAGAGTGAAGAGATTTACCAAAATTACAAATGCAGGGTATGAGTCTCAGTGTTACAGAAGCTCCAGACTTTAAAAAGAAAGGGGAGAGGGTGGAAACCCTACTTTTACTGAACATGTATGAACTTAGTTATGCATCAGTTAACACCAAGTTTTAAAACAATAAAAGAGTTGAAAGATAGTCACACTTACAGAAAGGTATGTAATGATAAATGAGTTATGTAACAACTACATTAAAAAATTAACCCTAAGAAAAGTCTTCAGCTCCCCAAGTTCAGTGCATCCCATTTTCTATTAAAAAAAAAAATACAAAACAAACAAAAATCCAAAAACACTGTGGTGTTTTTGCATTAGGAAATCTGGTTTAGGGGGTGCTTTCAATACAATTACCTTTAGGTTTCTTTCTGGTCTCTCAAACTAAAACTTTCAGCTTGTGTACGCATATCTTAAAGTTTCCATCTACAAAACTCCCTTCCATCAAGGTGGAAACCATTCAAAGCTGACCCTCCATTGGGTTTTCTGAGACTGGAGATTGCACAGGGGGAAGACTGCCTATTTTTCCTCCTTCAAAGCAGCTGGTTGAGTTGAACCTCCAAAGAGATATCATCTTTGGATTAGAAGCCCAACTTCCTATGGACAATGCCACCCGAGTCCATTGAGAGTACTCTACCACTATGAGAAAGATACGGTTTGAAGATTATAGCTGTACTGGAAAAGACTAGAAGAATCTGATTTAGAAATGTCTGAAACATTTCCTTTTTCATTTGATGGAATAGCATATTTCATTAAATTTCTTTTTTAATTAGCATGTAGGGAGAATCACAGCAAATTCCAGCTGTTTGTATTCCATTCAAACTTAACTCATAATTTTTTTTTACATTTTATTTTTTTAATAATTTTAATGGGCGAGCTCTGGTGGCCTAGTGGCAAGGAACTGCAACTACAATCCCAGAGGCGCATGGTTCAAATCCACCAGATGCTCTGCCGCGGAAGGAGGGACAATCTCCTCCCGTACCAGTCAGATCTGATTTGCCGATACACTCACACAAAAATACTAAAAAATAATAATAATAATAATAATAATAATAATTTTAATGAACATTTACAGAGAATTTGGATTTCCATTCATTCTTAACTCATAATTTTATAGCTACTGAGCACCTGTGCACACAAAGCCCTCAACAAGACAGGGTACTGGACACACTAATTAGCCAAAATATTATACTCTGAACTATTAAAAAAAAAATTAAAAAACGGCTATTAGGTTGTGACTCTTCAGGCCATCAGGTAATAACCACCAACTGTGGGCCTCTGCAGACGCCAGTTAAACCAAAAGGCAATGGATGCTCTGATTACTGGAGCAATCCAGATTGCCAGAATCAGCAAAACGACATTAGAAAGTTAATAGGCTCCATCCTTAAAATACCCCAGGAGAAGAGACGGCTGTTACCATGTATCCAACCATACCCCCACAGTAACAGCATAAGCAAATGCACCAGATGTATTTGCAATTAAGAAGCCCAACCTGGGCAGAGCACCATCAGTGGGAATTTTCCTTCTTCTGCATGGAAAGATTCAGGAAGCAAAAGCGCAGGCAGGAGGCAAACAGCACATCCAAGCAGAAAGGCTCAGGCAGTGAAGGTGCGGGGTAGATCCCTCCAACTTGGGATAAAGGGAGTCGGGGATGTGCAACAGAGAATGAATGGCACGTCCAGGTCCGCGGGGAGGCGGCTGCACGAACAGCACAGGAACACCGGGTAAGTGCCGCAAGGGAGTTAAGGACCCCGCTGCTGGGGGAGAGAAGCGAACCCTCCTGGGACCTCGGGGAAGGCGGAGATCTTCACTGGGTCCTCCCTCGCCAGTTTGCATCCTTACGGATTTTTTTCCCCCTCATAAAGTTGATAAACTCGCCAGAAGACGCCAATCTCGGAGGCTGACACCCCCCTTCCACGAACTGGCGGCGCCTGCGGGCAAGCCTCCCCTCCCTCCCCCAAAGCAACAGCGGCCGCGGCGCCGGGGCAGGTGTCGCCGCCGGACCCGGCCAGCGCGACGTTGGCAGCGCTGCGGCCACCGCGTCCCCAGCGGGCCGGGGCGCCGGAAAGTTACGCAAAGACAACTCCGGGGCCACCGAGCCGCTCCCCCGCGCGCTCCGAGGGCTGCACCCCCGCCAGCTTCCCCCCCGAGCCTCCGCGGGAAGCACGGGCCCCGGGGACGGCGCTAGCTCGGCCCGCCGACTTGGCCTGGCCCGAGGGCGCGAGGGTCCCGAGCGGACGGGCGGGCCGGGGACCGTGGCGGGCTCGGCGAGCACCCCACGGTCCGCACCCCGGCCGGTCACGACTCGGGCGCCCAGACACCGCTCCGCGGCCCGCACGGCGGCACCTCCTCCCGCTCTCTCGTCGGGACACAGCCCGAGCGGATGCTGCCTCCGGCGCCCCTTCCCGCCTCACCTGCGCTCCGCGGCGGCCGCACCTCCTCGCCCGCTCCGCGCGCCCCGTCGGGGAGCGCACTGACCCCCTGGCCGGGATTCCTCCCGGCCGCAGTGACCCGGGACGCAGCGGCCACCGCCGCCTCCTCTTTCCCAGGCACGCACCTGGACCGCGAGCAGAGACGCGGTCAGAGCTTTGCCGGGACCAAGCGCGAGCCGTGCCGCCTCCGCAACCTCTACCACCACCAAGTCCCTTCACTCGTCCGCGCCGCCCGGAGAAAATGTCACCAGAGGCCGTTCCGCTCGGCTCCTCACTTCCGCCCGGAACCACTGAGCCCTCGCGGCCGGCTAGAGAGGCCGCTGCGGCGGCAGCCCCTGGGGATCGGCGCCGGGCACCGCAGGAAAGCCAGACAGCGCCATCTGTCGGGAAGGACCGCCGCTCCTCCCGATGCAGACAGCCGTGCGCACCGACGCGGGCTTCCCGCTCGGCTTTCCCGCGCTCCTGCCTCCCCACCGGGTCACTCCATTCCTGTAAGTGTCTCTCTAGGGCGTCAGAAAGCCAGTCGGTGCACGCCGGAGCAGGGTACTAAGAAAAAGGATGGCGGTGCCAAGACTATGCGCTGCTCCCAGTTACTCACCCCTCCTTTAAGTCTTCGCAGATAAAGCTCGCGGTGTCCGAATCCTTGAAGTCACTTCTGCGGGGGAGCCCGCTTTCTTCTCGTGTCACTTTTCCGCAGATGCCAACAGTGCGGCTCCCAGCGACTGCGATGCGCCCTTCTCGTGCAGCGGCGTCAACATCCCGGGCAAGTTTCTGGACGCGAGCCCTGCGAGGAGAGCGCCACCTGCCGGTGAGGCCGGTTCCGCCAGCGCCGCGCCGCTCCGCCCCCACGCGCGTGTCAGGCGCCCCAAATTCCACCTCTGCACTCACTCCCCAGCTCTGTAGTCCATCCTGGGAAGGGTGACCCTCCCGGCGCCTCTGAGTTTTCCAGGTCCTTCCCCCTGCCCCTTTTAAGTGGTTTTCCTACAATTAATTGCCTTTGCACTTCCTATACATTGATTTATTCGTGTACATGTGTGCATTGTGTTTCATACAATCTTTCATTTACATTGTTCCATACATTCATATATATTGTCTTTTGTATAATTAATTTATTATTGATCTTTGAGTCCCCATTGAGTCTTCCTGTTCCTTCACCCACCTACCCCGGTCCACCCACTAAACTCTGCTCTCCTAGTGATTTTCAACCATTCCCCTTTTTCTGCCCCCTTTCCTTTTCCCCAGCCCCTTTTGGACATTTACACAAATCTTATTAACGTTTTAACACTCAACTCTGACTTCATTGCAAATACTGTTAATAGCTACCACTTTATCAAATGTGATAATGGTTACCTATGATGGACAGTGTTTGGTGGAGTTCCCTGATTAAAACAAGCTTGGAAGCAGGAGTGGCATCCACTTCCAAAACAGCTTGCCTCCAGAAATGATGCAAATGTGAGTGATTTTAATCTGCGGCCCTCAGGTTTGGTTTTAATTGTTTTTGCTCAAACATTCTTCTTAGCAGTATAGCATTGGTCTGTCCATTTGCTGTACAGAGGTAACTCGTGATTGCTGTGATGCTAAACACTGTGACACACTTATGTGTCAAATGTAATAATGGTTACACATGGCGGACAGTGTTTGGTGGAGCTCCCCAATTAAAACAAGCTTGGAAGTAAGATTGGCATCCACTTTCAAAATAGCTATGAACTTGGAGAAACAATGAAAGTTATACAAGTGCTCAGGTCTTTCGTTCATAGGGTCGCTATGAGTAATCTACAACTGGATGGCACTTAACAACAACAACATTAGTTATCTTCCTATTCCCACAGTACTTCTCTTACTACAGTATTTGCCCTTTTGAAACTCAATTCATTCAGCATAATGCACTCTTGGCTTGCCCTACTTTGAGTACTGGAATGAGCTCTGGTGGTGTAGGGGCAAGAAGTTGTGCTACAATCACTAAGGCAGGCGGTTCGAGGCCACTGGCTGCTCCGCGGGAGACAAATGAGCACTCTCCTCGCAATTAACTGCCTTTGGAAAACTATGGGTTGGTTCCGACTCTGTGGTAAACAACAACAATGAGGGAGCGGGTAGTACTGGGTGGGAGGGCAGCAGAAAAGGTGAGCTTGCACAGGACACCTGACTGATAGGACAAAAGAAGGGAAGGTACTGAGAACAAACCAGAGATCAACATCTGAGCAACAGCCTACCGTACCTAAAAGTAGTGCAGGGTGTCTGAGGAGAAAATGCAGCTTTGAAGAACCTGTGCTAGAATCTGGGGTGAGACTCCCCAGGAGAAGATTCTAAACCTCCCACAGTGCTGCTTCCATGCTCCCCTTAACATGAGTCTCTTTAGACTTGGTCTTTCAAGTCCTCCAGTTTCCTGGCTTTTGCTAACTGCCTCCAGATATGAAGGCTTTCCATTCTTGACTAAATGGATAAATTGATAAGATAATGGTTATAACAGTCCACCAGCTTGTGGGCGTATCAGAATTTTTAAATCCTGAAGGGTCTGTTTTTAATGGTTTTTGGTCAAACATTCTTCTAAGTGGTATAGCACTGGTCTGTCCATTTGCTGTACAGAGGTAACTCGTGGTTGCTGTGATGCCGAACACTGTGACACTGATGTGTCAAATGTGATAATGGTGACCCATGGTGGACACTGTTTGGTGGAGCTCCCCAATTAAAACAAGCTTGGAAGCAGGAGTGGCATTCACTTCCAAAATGGCTTGCCTCTGGAAACCCTATGAACTTAGAGAACCATAGAAAGTTCATAGGTCGCTATGAGGGGCCTATGTATTTAACAACATAACAACAATGGTTATAATAAAAACCTCATTTTTACTCATTATACCAGCCACCACAGTTCAGTGCATTTAACCATTCATTTAATCTTTACAGTAACCCAGAGAGGTTTGTAGAGTTAATAGCCTCTCTTCACAGAGCAGGAAACTGAGGAGACTGTCACTGGGGGTTCCCCAACTCTAGAACCTGCCTTCTGAACTGACAACTCCTTGAAATTCACTAAGAGCATCATTTGTGCCAGAAAAGTGATGCATCTGCTAAAAATGTTATTTCGCTCATTTGTTGATTAATTTCTAGAAAACTGTCATCTCCCAGGAATGCTGAGAGGAATTCTGAAAGGTGTTCACTCCTGGGTGAGCAGGTTATTTCAGCCATTTGCCCCTGTGACAGACAAGACTTTGACTCTTTCCAAAGAGAAAAGAATCACAGCTCAAGATCACAGCTGTCTGCCTTGATGTGAATTAGTATGGACTAACATGTTCTGTTTGAAAAGGATTCTTGGACAGTTTCTGTCTTTGCTGTAGAAATAGTGACCTTAAGGTGTCTTCCCAACTCGCTCTCTGTCTCCGTCCTCCGCTTGTCCTCTGCTCTGGATACGACCTTGACTCTCCTTGTTTGAAGCCACCACGCCTATTCCCTACAGGGAGTGGACACTGCATATTTTTGGAAGCTGATGTGTCTGATAACGCTAATTATTAAAGTCTCCATTACTACCATATTTAGATTGTTAAGTGGGGCAATTGCTTTCTCTTTCCCTTTCTAGGAGTCCCTGAGTGACGCATACATTTAAACACATGACTGCTAATCCAGAGGTTGGTGGTTCAAGCCCACCCAGAGGTACCTCAGAAGAAAGGGCTGGTGATCTACTTCTCAAAAATCAGCTATTGAAATCCCAGTAGAGTACCCTTCTACCCTGAAACACAGGAGGTCATTCTGAGTTGAATCTACTCAATAGCAATTGGTCTTCTCTTCTGCAATAGGGAAAAAGGAGCTCCTGTGGTTTAGTGCATAAGGAGTCGCACTGCCAATCCAGAGGTAGGTGGTTCAAATCCATCAGCTGCTCTATGGGGACTGTCTCCTCCTCCCATGAGATTAACAGTCTCAGAAAATTCTCTAGAGGCTCAGCTATGAGTCATTTCAACTGGGCAGCAATGAGGTTTTGAGGTGGGTTTGTTGTGGTGGTTTTTAAATTGTCTCCTAGAATCTCCTGTGCATCGTATACGCAGCTTTCCAATCCCCTGAAATCCTTTCCCCCTCAACACCTGCTCATCCCAGGAATACCCACAGCACACCCCCCGACCCCCCCATCACCCTGTACTGTACGCCCCCAACCTCCCAAGTGCTTCAACAAAAATTTCAGTTGAGACTCTTCTGCTTACCATTGCTGTCCTACAAACATGTCTACCCTTTGACCTGTCAGTCACGCTCCTATTAAATCCTGTCAGTGGTCCTCTCTTGACGTCTGTCCCAACCACTGAGGCCAAGGCCAAACCTGCCAGTACCCTCTTCAACACCATTCCTTGCCCCTGCCACACTGCCTGGGGTGGACCTGGGCCTACCGGGCATACATGATGACCTGAGCAAGCGCTTCGGCTCATGACCTCCTGGCCATCCTCGTGCTCCCATGGGGCCGGTCGCCTCAGCCAGCCGCTGGCCCCTTCTTGCCTGCGGTTGACATTGTTGTTGTTGCTAGACACTCTGACCCATGGCAACCTCACGTACAACACAATTAAATGTTGCCCAGTTGTGGGCCATCTTCACGCTAGTGTTGGAACCCTTCGTTGTGGCCACTGTGTTCCTCTATCGCACGGAAAGTTGTTGGGGTTTGGTTTTGTTTTGCTGGCCTTTGACTTCACTGCTCGTGATAATCCTTTCTGACTGAGCTTTCCTGACAGTGTGTCCAAAGCAAAAGTCTTGTCACCTTCAGTCTTGCCACCTTAGCTTCTAAAGAGATTGATGTGACCGGATAACCACTGCTGAGATCCAGAAATGAGGGGATAGGAAAGAGAACGCTCATCAGTGGACTCACCCCTCCCTTCCTCCTCAGGTTCCTCAAGTCCTACCCTCTCCTCATGACCAGGAGCCCCCCAGTCCCACCAGCTCCCCCTCAGGTCACCCAGCACCTCCTGTGAGCAGGCTGTGGGATCCGGGAGAAATGTCGAGCCCTGCCCTGTGGGAACCAAGGCATTTCATGATTCACCACCTGCAGCACCTGCATTATCTGCTCTGCTCGCGTAATGTGAAACATGCAGGATTGTTAACCAAAAGGTCAGCAGTTTGAATCCACCATCTGCCATGCAGGAGAAAAATAGGCCATCTCCTCCCATAAAGATTATAGCCTCTGAATCCAAGAGGAGGATCCCTGTGAACCCACTGGACTTGGGGACACTGGGGTTTGGGCTCTGCCTCAGAGCCTCACCCTACCCCATTAGCCAACGTGCTCCATGGTGAAGGTCTAAATGAATCATTTT